GGGGACTCAACGGGGACTCAACGGGGACTCAACGGGGACTCAACGGGAACTCATCGGGGATTCAGCGGGGACTCAACGGGGATTCAACGAGGACTCAACGGGGACTCGACGGGACTCATCGGGGATTCAACGGGGACTCAACGGGGATTCAACGGAAACTCAACGGGGACTCAACGGAAACTCAACGGGGATTCAACGGCAACTCAACGGGGACTCATCGGGGATTCAACGGGGACTCAACGGCGACTCAACGGGGATTGAACGGGAACTCAGCGGGGATTCAACGGGGATTCAACGGGGACTCAACGGCGACTCGGCGACTCAACGGGGATTCACCGGGGACTCAACGGGGGGGAGTCAACGGGGATTCAACCGGTACTCAAAGGGATTCAACGGGGGACTAAATGGGAACTCAACGGGGATTGAACGGGGACACTAAAAATCAATCAAATCCTTGATTTTTGATAACTTTGATGTTTTTGGTTGATAAGAATACGCCGCCCCCCACGTTTCGTCGGTTCACTGTGCAGCTCCTTGAAACAACGCAAAAAAAACATGCTTTCGTAGAGAAAACTTACAAAATAACACCCAAAGGCCGCAATCTTGCTACCTTCCTGCCCTGATTCTCAAATTTAATGTTAACGCTTCTACGGAGGAATCAATATATATATATATAAACCAGGATGGTGAGAGAGCCGGTCCAGTCGGGAAGAGGTAGGGCATTCCATGTAACACACAAGCACGATCGTCTGGTTGAATTTGGGCCGGGAAGAACTGGTTGAGCCGAGCCAGGCCAGCTCCGGTTCTGTGAGACTTCTACTACTTGATGGCCTGCAGCTCTTAGAGGGAGGAGGCTCCCATTCTGTGGCCGTTCGTGCGACCTTACCATTGCTGCAGGCTGCATTGGAACAGGTGCCTTGGATGCTTGGATCTGAGATGCTGAAGCTCCTGATGTTTGCCAACTAATATAATATAGTGTTGAAGCATTGGTGTTTACAATGTTGGTTTGCCATACAACCTCTAGTGGGCACTGAGTCTGCAGGTACAATACACAAGTTGTACTGATTGCTCTGCAGTGCTGGATTCCATACAATTGACTTGTGCCAGCCCCAACAACATGCAGTCAGAAGCCATAGTGCAAATGGAGATTGACTCGGTGCTGCCATATCTCCGTGCTGCATCACTGTATCGCGAAATCAAGAACTATACTGCGCATGTATTTCGGGACGTTTCGCTGGAGTATGCCATGTATTCGGGAATACTGCAGCTCAATATCACTTCCAGCAGTGGCACTGTGGCTGTTGAGCATGACTGGGATGCACCTGGTGCCATTCTTAAAGGAACCGCAGCTGAAGTAGCTTGGATTTTGAAGAGTAGCGGCGTTACCTTCAAGCCGAATCGGAGCCAGACCTTCGACCACCTGGACTCTTGGCCAAGCAAGGGTTCCAGATCCTTTTGAGCAAACTAAACTACTGTAACTTCGTCCCGCTCCTGCAAACTAACTTTAGTCTAACCCATCCTGTTGGAGGAGACTCCCTTTGACCACCTGTTTTGACTGAGGTCAACCTCCAGCTTTGCCTCACCGACGAGACGGGTGCTCCAGTCTCCGAATGCATCACTTTGTCTCTCAAGGTGCCAATCCTTTTTGCTCAGAATCCTTTGCAAACCAGAAGGCTTTTGTTTGAGCATGTTTGAGCTAACATGACACATTTCAACAAGAATGCTATCTCAGGTTCTAGGTCTGGAAGTGGCAGCAGTGGTGGATGAAGAGCTGAAGGTGGGAGGTGAGCCTGACACTGCTGTGGCCTCTGCTGTGGCCTCCGTGGCCTCTGTGGCCTCGGTGATGACGAAGCGTAACCTTTTGACTTTTTGTATTCGCCAAACCAAGAATGGACACCCTCCCGCACCGAAACGTTACTCTCCCCAAATCAAACGTAACCCCCTAAAGTGGATTTTTTTGGAAACGTTAGTCGAAAGATGCTGAAAGGGCACAAGTGGTGTCTGTGAGGAGGATATGTTAGCAAGATTCCGCAGGGATAAGTCAAAAATGGAAACGGCCATGTTAGTGGATGCTGGGGGACATTTTGACAAGTTTCATGACTCTGAACTGGCACAACTGGTGTCTGGGACGAGGATATGTTAGCAACTAGGAGAAGCATTGAACGTGACCCATGCCCTGAACGTGGTATCGGTGAGGAGGACATGTTAGCAACAGTCTGCAGGGGAACATGTGTTGCAAATCCTCCGACATGGAAGCCGCCATGTTAATTGATGCCGGGAAAATTGAAGTTTCATGACTCTGAAATGGCAGAAGTGGTGTTTGCGAGGGGGGATATGTTAGCAACTAATGTTTTTCTGGTTGCCAAACAAACCTACTGTAAGTTTGCCTCCAATGAGTGCAAGCAGCAACTGGGCTCCAGGGGGGTTTACTGAAGCCCAAGCAAATCCAAGCAATATGCTGCCCAATGGTTAGCCCTACATCACGACGTGGCCAAGCACGAGGACGCCAGTTAGACTGAGGGATGCCCAGCGTCAAACACTGGAGGAAGCTGCCACATGGTGTCAAACAGTGCCTTGCCATCAAAATGATGACCATGGGGGCGCTAACATGTCCACAGTGTCACATCATTGCAAAGATACATATCCGTACAAATGCTCTGCAGTAGACTCCAGATGTTCAGATGTTCAGATGTCTCAAGCGGCAGCACCAGGCTATGTTAGTAACAAGCTGTTGTGTTTCTGTGTATTTGTGTGCCCATGGTTTTCATGGGCTCAGCATGAAGGTGATGAAGCGGGCCTTGGAGTTCACAAAGAGCTTGGATGGCAATCCATTGCTCACTTCTTCTCGAACACTTGTCACATCGTCTTTCTTTTCCGGGTCTCTCAATAGATGCTCAGAAGTTTTGGCGGTATAGTGTGTTTTATTTTTGAGGAATTGCATTTAGATATCCCTCCAGAACATTGCTAACATATCCTCGCTGCAGATACCACTTGTGCCCTTCAGCATCTTCCACCAATGTTGCCAAAAAAAATCGTTTACAGGCACACGTTTTTTTCAAGAGAGTATCCAACTCAGGCTGGATGCTGCATCAAGGGCAGCTGCTGTCCTTGAAGCTCAAGAGGGTTGTGGGGTCAAATTTGAGCGAGTGCCTTGCATATGCATCAGGTCATGTTTGATGGTGTTGTCCAATATCATGAATTGTCCACACATTCTCAGTCTTAAGTGGCTGGACCATGGGGGTGCTAACATGTCCCTTGTGCTAACATGTCCCTCTATATAGATATAATATTGTATAGGTTTGTTAGCATTCTTGCCACTTGCCTGAGGTCAGCTGTTGCGACATCGAGGCCGCAGTGCAGCAAGGACTCCTAAAGGACCCCTTCTTCAAGAATGAGTGCGTGTTTGAAGATGCAACTGGGAGTTTGAACAAGTCAGTTCCATATACTAGAAGACACGCGTTTAACATTGTCCTTTTGCTTTGGTTCTTAAATTCAAGAATATATCTATATATAGTGGTTTCACTCAGGGCTGGGCCTAACATGGCCAGTGGAGCACACTCTGCATCGTAGGTATTGCAAGTACTTGATGCGAAGACGAGAGGCAAGATTAACCTTGCCAGCAGCCTAGAGCACATCAAGTTGATCATGGAGGATGCCACCTTCAAGACTCACGCTCGTTGCCTGCGCCGCCCGTTGAAGCCAGGAGGGTGCATGCTTCCCCGTGAAGTCGATATAGTTTCTTGACCTTGTTAAGGGTCCCTAACATAGCCCGTTGCCCACATGGTTTGGATGGCGCTTTGTTACATTTACTGTAGCTCAGTATAACTAGTTTACACAAGTGAACAATCTCTGTTCTTTCCCATCATTGCAACCAAGGACTTGAGTGCAGTATCTTGCAAAGATGACAGTCTGGCCGGCAATTTTTCACAGAATGAAGGTCCTGGCACAAGGGCGGCAATGGCGCACTTCAGGCCCTGGATTTGCATAACAAATGAACATTGCATATCGTTCCAAAATAAGATGGCAATACGCTGATGGGCCCGTATTTCACACGTGGTTAACCTTTACAATGTATGATAACAGTACGTATGCTAACATGACCCTGCCAGATACCAACTCCATGCCAAGACCCGCTTGATGCTGTTGGAGAATGTATGTTCCGGGACGATACACCAAGTTACTGCACAAGAGCTTTCAGACAAGAATGCTTGTGAGATCAAGATCATTGCCTCAACAGATGATTCAGGATACGGCGGCATACGCCGGCACCGTGGCTGGATTCCTGTCAGGATGTTTGGCAAGTGTTTCATTCTAGCAATTGTTTGGGATACTGGAGGGATATCCAGTACAAATCTTCCAAAAACAGGAACAGCCATGTTAGTTAATACCGGGAACATTGACATATTTTCTGAAAGGGCGCAAGTCTGTGTTTGTGGCGAGGATATGTTAGCAACATGTTGTGGAGGGATATCCAAGCCCAGGACTATAGCCCTTCGGCGTGGCTGTGGTCGTTTCCTGGCTGAGCCTCAAGCCGCCTACGACTACATGAGAGAGGAGCTGAGGAAGAAGCAAGTCAACATTCCTGATCTCTTCTGGTGCGAGGATGAGGAGTTGCATCTTTGCAGCAATGCAGATAAGATTACAGTATCTTTGTAATCGCAAAAGTGGTTGACAGCACTCATTTTCGTGAGCAAGCTTTAGGCTTTAATCGGGAAGAGAAACAGGATGTCTGGCAAACGGAATGTGTGCAGGGACATGTTAGGCGAAGTGTTTGAGCCTAAGCAGGGACATTGAATTGGCACTGATACTAAGGTTGGCAGCAGAGCGCAAAGCTTGCAGCACCAAAGGCAAAAGTCCCAATTGCACTTTTGAGTTCCTTGGCTGCCTCTCAAAAAGCTACCAAGGCAAACAGCTCAATATGTTTGTTCCACAAACCCCAAGCTATTTCTGTGGCGGTCCAGGTTAGTGCCACTCAGACTGCAAGCAAGGCAAATGCAGAGACTGACATGAAGAACCTGCAAGCGGCTTGGGATAAGTTTGACCAGGACAGGGATGTTGATGTTACTGTGTTCATCTGTTGTAATTAAAACCCTATTTAGGAACATATCCATTGGTCCATGGTCCATGTTAAGTTTCGGGCTTGTAGACAAGACTCCCCTGATGAGCCTGTGAGGATTTCGATCTCAAAGATCTTCCCGAGTTCCAGGTTGCCGTCCCTCAACAAAGTCCAGACTACATGAAAAGACGAGCAACAACAGGCATCATGGCATGTTATGATGTTTCAAGGTTTTTGTAAAAGTTGAAACCAGCAACATGCACACTCAGGGCTACGTTAAGGTAAGTAAGGCTGAAACTCCCAAGACCATGACTGCTGATTCCTGTCAAGGTCTCTGCCAACATTCACTCGGGTGGATCACCACTACAGTCGCCATTTGAAGAGGTGGTTGACTGGGCTGGAAAAGCTTTGCGCGCTGGGATTTCCGGCAACAGATGCAATCGCGCGAGTTTATGGAGTTGATCTCTGGCTTGGTTTGTGCAAGGTTGTGTGTGTGTGCAATTGTTTCTTGCACTTCCCCACCAACAACTCGAAACTCACACAGGGAGCATGTTAGTGTGGCGTGTGGGATTGTGGGAACACATCTGAGGACACCATGCCTCACCATGTTTGGCCAAAGCTTCATGATCGTTGCGGCAACACCCAACATCTACCTCAATCAGCAGCTTGACTTGGAAATGCTTGTTGTAGTCATTTAAAGGCAATGTGCTTTGTTGGGATTGGCCACGTGAGTCACCCTCCCAACCCGTTGTGCCAGTGACCGGCTTCAGTGGCAATTTGAGGCAATGGTGCTGGCAGCGCTTTTGGCAGTGACAGAGTTTTTCCCGGCCGATGCCATTCCTCAACAAATCCCTGATGTAGTTGCAGTGCCTGTGCAGGGAAATGGCCTTTGCTTCTGGAGCTGCTTGTATCTGGCTTGCAGGGCTACGGTGGCTTTGGTATCACCGCCCGAGGACACCTCAGGGCTTTCCGCTATGCCCAAAGGCCATTGAAGAGGAAGATGCAGTGGTGACAGCTTTTGCACAGAGCCTCAACTTGCCGTCGGAGATCGCAGAGAAGATCGTGCATAAGCGAAGTGCTGAACACTCTGACATCGAATTTTGGATCTTCAGAAAATGTTGTGCAGTACTGTATTTCTTTCATAAAGAAGGGGTAGGGCTAACATGTCCCACTGCATTGCTAAGACCACAGGAGTGATTTCACCAAGCAGCCAGGAATGGGCAGCTAACGCGCTGAAGATCGATGTCAAGTTCATCTCTGGTGAGAAAACACCAACGCGCGGCGCCGTCCCTTGCTGGCAGTGTCCAGAGAGTTCAGAGGGTCCGGTTGGTGGTGAAGCTTGCAAGACTGTGTACCTCTGGACTCACCGGTGGCTGGCGCAGGGAACCGTGCCGACCACTTTTCTTTGCTGAGCCAGGAGATGGTGCTGTTCTTGTTTGTTTTGTAATAATTAGCACGATAACTAACATGGACTTGGACCCCTTTGTCCAGTCAATGGCTTTCATTTCAATTGTTCATGGACTCTTGTGCAATAGCACTGAACTTGTCAAGCCATTGCAATGACTACTGTAAATAGGACGTGCGCATTTGGAATGGTGCAGCTCTTGAACCTGCTGACCAAGATGAAAAGCCAGCTACAACGTCAGTGCCTGGCCAGCTTCCCGAGCAAAGTTTGGTTGTCCTGTCCTGCAGAACAGAGGGGGAAACTGGCCTCATTGGGTGGGGTGAAAAGGAGTGATCACAACACTGGCACATTGGTTTCAATGCCTGGTGCA